ACCACCACCACCACCACGATCACCACCACCACCACCACGATCACATCAACCCCACCACGATCACCACCACCACGATCACCACCATGATCACTACCACCACCACCACGATCACCACCACCACGATCACCACCATGATCACCACCACCACCACCACTATCACCATCGCCCCCACCACTGCCTTTACCAACGTCATCCCCGCATTGTTAGCGCCACCATTACCATGTCACGTATTCATCACCACAGCCACCACCATCCCCACAGCCTTTACCACGACCATCACCACCATCACAGTGATGAACACATCTTCATCGCCACTGCCACCATCATCTCCACAACCTTTACCACCACCATCACCATCATCCCCATCCCCACTACCAACACCACCACCATCACCGTGATGAACACATCTTCATCGCCACTGCCACCATCATCTCCACAGCCTTTACCACGACCGCCACCGTGATGAACACATCTTTGTCATCACCACCACCTCCACCACCGCCACCATCTCCCCCTCGTCCTTCTTCATTGCAGTAGCTGTTCTGTCACGTATTTGGTGCGTGACTGCACTGTGACAAACACTTGATACACATGTGATCACGTCATACCACGGCCTTGTAAGGCTGATACCACAGTAGCCCCTTATGCGCGGATCACATGTCCTGTAAGTAGCGAATCTGAGGTTCACAGTGTGATTTCTGAACACAGTCCCTGCTTCAGACGCTGTGCTGCCACCTCAATGCCCTCTACCCGTTACAAGGCCGGACAGCCCACCGGGCACATCCAAGTCTGTGCCACGCCCAGGCCCCTCCCTGGGTCATAGTGGGCTGCTCCAACCCCTTTCAGGTCTGTGCCCTTCCCTTCCTGCACAGGTGTATGAGGGCGGGAGCAGCGTGGACCAGTTTGTGACCCGCTTCCTCCTGAAGGAGACAGCCAATCAGATCCAGTCGCTGCTGAGCTCAGTGGAGAGTGCAGTGGAGGCCATCGAGGAGCAGACCAGCCAGATCCGGTGCGTGGTGTGTGTGTGGGGGGGGGGTGGGGGTGCGTGTGTGCGCCTGCATGCACACTCTGAGGACCTGGGTGACCTTGGATGAGCTCTGATACCCTCTGTGCCTCCATTGTCTGCTCTGTAAAATGGGACCATTCTATCACTGCGCCTCAGCCCTTGTGAGGATGTGGTGAGATGACTGCCCCTGGCTGACTCCTAGCTAGGGCACGTGCAGACAGAGCCCAGAAAGAGTCCAAACCGCTTCCTTGAAGCCGGGATCACAATAAAGTGAGTAATGCCAATTGCGTGGTTTCCCAGTGCTTAAGAAAGTTGTATTTCTCCCCGCTGGGCTCAATTTCAAGAGCCCTGTTGGTGCAGTGTGCACCCAAATGTTTGCTAGTTCAAATCCACCAGCTGTTCCTCAGGAGAACGGTGCTCCGTTTCCTCCCACCAGGGAGCTCTGATCACCTAGTGGGTAAGGAATTGCACTGTCAGCACAAAGGTTCGCAGCTTGACTCCACCAGCTGCACAGGAGGAGAAAGGAACAGTCTCCTTCCGTATGATTTCAGCCTCTGAAGAGCCACAGCAGGGTGAGCCGTGGGTCAGCTCATAGCAACCACGCCCCATGGACATCTACAGCCGAGTCCCAGTGGAGGGTCACTGTGGGCCAGTCGAGTGGACGGCACGGGGTCTGTGCAGAAGTGTCGTGAACAGATGTGAGCTAGTGCAGGAGTGACCAGAATGGGGCAGAGCCACGAAGCGAGACCGGCTGCTGCTGGCAAACCAGTGCTCACAGACGTCAGTTTAGAGAAAACAGTGTCTGTGCATGTGGTAAAGTGAGACATGGCTGTTCAGTGATCCAGTCGTTGGTCCGCCTAGCTCTGAAGACACGTTTCTAGACGCTAATCACATTCCAGGCTCTGCTGCTGGTTCAAATCCATGGCCCCAGGGGGGCTGCGTGATGAAGCACATAGTCTGAAGGGCAGTGTTTCCTTTGCTGCTGGTTTGTAGACATCCCACTGATGCTTCAGGCTTTTGATTTTGGGAGCCTTTCTGCCAGCCCTGGGACTGCTTTGCTCCCTCCCTCAGGGAGGTCACAGGAGGTAAATGCAGTGAGAGGCAAAGGCAGGGGGGCGGGGAGCAAGCCAGCACCTGTGAGTGAGAGTGTGTGTGAGAGAGAGAGAGAGACAGAGAGTGTGAGTGTGTTTGTCCTGTGTGGACAAGCACTGTGTGTACTGACTCATCTCTACACATCCGAGAAAGACCAGTCACTGCATTTATTGAGCACCTGCTGTGTGCTCTGCTCCTGGAGCGTGTGTGTGTCTTCCTGGCAGGCAGGCAGGCAGGCATTGGGGGGTGTGGTTTGTGGATGGGGCCGAGTGAAGTCAACATCACAGATTTCTCTGTCCTGTCATATTCTTAAAGAGTCCTGATGGCATTGTGCTGGGATGCTGAGAGGCTGGTGGTTCGAATGCACCTGCTGCTCTGAGGGAGGAAAATGGGCCGTCTCCCTATAAAGGTGTCCAGTTCGGGGAACCCCCATGCAGAGTCAGAGGAGTCGGTTGGCTCCGCAGCAGTGGGCTTGGGTACTTCCCTGCTCTTGCTGTCTTCGGTGAGCGCCCTCCTGGAGGAGGTCTGACAGGTGCAAACCCCCCACACCACATGGACCTGAGCACCATCCTGGCTCCAGCGAGGGCGGGAGGGTTGGACCCTGGGGTCTGCACAGCTCAGCCTGGCCAGTGGCTGTGCTGGGGGAGCTGACCTGCAGACAAGGTTGCCAGAGAGTGCAGGATCCCTGCGAGCAGGGTCTGAGCTACATCCCAGAGTGGTGCAGAGTTCAGATCCCAGCGCCACCTCAGCTCGCTCTGTCGCTTTGGCCAGTCACAAAGGCGGCTGAGCCCACCCCATGGGGATTGGGTTCCACAGGGGGAAGGTCCCTGCAGAGTCAGCCAGAACCAAACCAGCCACCGATTCGGACTCACAGTGACCCTGGAGGACGGAGGGAACTGCCCACGGGGTTCCCAAGGCTGTGAAGTCCCATGGATGCGGGCGGCCTCGTCTTCCTCCCGACGAGTATCCAGTGAATTTGAACCGCTGTCCTTTCGGTTAGCCAGGCCATCAGGGCTCCTCCTGAAGGTCCTTCTGGTGCTGAATGGATGAGTCTCTGAGAGCTGAGGTCAGGGCCCGCGTCATAGTCCATGTGTCTCTCCCGCTCGCCACAGGCACAACCACAGCCGAGCCAGCCATGGTGTCACGGAGACTTGGTACGGAAACGCCACTCCCCCCTACACCCCCAACCACAAGATCATGGCCACGGAGCAAGCAAAGACCCTTCCAAGGGGTGAGAACAGGACGTTCACCACTGGGAGGTCCCCAGGGGATGGGTCACCACCACCAGGGCTCCGCGGGGAATTCTGAGCACACACCAGAGCCCACCCATGGCCTAGGGATGCTTGCTGGGGGAGGCTGAGACCCCCAGGGGGGTTATGGCCCCTCCAGACCACTGGCCCAGTGTGCACCTCTGCACTCTCCTCCCCAGTGACCTTGGACCCCAAGGAGGAGGGGCTGGAGGCCCAGGTGAGCAGGCTGGCAGAACTCATCGGGAGGCTGGAGAACAAGGTGAGCGCTGCACTGAGCCCCTGCACCCCACTCCCCTGGTGCCAGCACCCCTCTACCCCCTCCCCATGACGTGTCTCCACCCCACTCCCCATGGCACCCCTCCACCCCACTCCTCGGGGCCAGCGCCTCTCCCCCCTCCCCTTAGGGCTGCCCACTGTCCCATGCCCCCAAGGATGGACCCATTTGAGGGCTACAGCCGGCTGGAGGCTGGTGGTGGTTGCTGGAGAAAGCATCACTAGCTGGACTGTGAAGATGAGGGTCTCGGGATGGAGGGGGGCCTGTGGAGAGCAGGGGCATTGGGGGTGCTGGGCTCTCGGACCCATAGCCTGTAGGGAGGCTGAAGGCCAAGATCCTGAGCTGGTGCACGATGGGGGAGAGAAGAAACAGCATGAGTAGTACCTGAGTGTTGTCCTTCCTGACTCAAGGTGACCCCACACCTGCAAAGTGGAACTACAGGGTCATAAGCTGTGACCTTTCAGAAGCAGCTCACCAGGCCTTTGTTCTGAGCTGTCTGAGTGGGCTTGAACTCTCAACCTTTCAGCTTGCTCCTCTCTCCCTGGGCACTTCTAGCTGTTTGAATGCTGCAGGTGTGTCCACTGTTCAGCCCTTCTGGAATCTTCGCTCCATAGCCCAGGAACCGGCCTGTAGTGTGGCTGTTTTGGGGTGGCCGTGAGGTTTGCAGGGTATCAGCTGCATGCTGTCTGGGTCAGGTCCTGGCTGCAGCCAGTGTGAGCCGTGTGACCTGGGGCCAGTGACCAGCCCCTCAGAGTCTTGCCTTTCTCTTCTGAAGAGGGAACAGCGAGAAGAGCGTTCTCCTGACCGTGAAGTAACATGAAGGCCGCTAATGGCTCAACCAGGAGCACAGCCAGCGTTTCCTAGTAGAATGCCAGCAACTGCTGGGTTATCAGGGCCCCCAGAGCCTGTGGGTACACACACGACACCCACGTGCCTGGAGCACACCCTTCCTGTAGGGGGTGGACGACCTTACCTGGTTTTTTATTTCATAGAGAGCTTTGGTTCTTCCTGAGTTTATGGTTCAGAGGCACCTGAGGGTGTGTTGGAGTGCCCACCTGGGGTTGAGGCAGGGGTGGGGTGGGGAGGGGGAGCCAGGCCCTGTGCACCAGCTATTGGTGGAGACCCCAAGGCCTGGTTGTCATAACAACTAGGCAGGAGGCAGAGGGAAGCTCTTTGAAGCTTATTTTTAGAGCCATGGTCTCCCTAACAACCATGCTGGGAGCCTGGGGCACCTAGGCGTCCAGGAGATGGGGCGGGGCTTCCGCATGCCTCTGATTGGCCCCAGTGGCAGCCAATCTGGGCCTGGCTCCTGGCCTTGCCCCCCCCAATTCTGGAGTTGGGGGGCTGTGGACAGAGAGGGTGGCTGAACTCACCAGATCCTCAGCGTGAGAGAGAGCAAGCTGCTTCTGTGTGACAGTCCTCGAAATGCCACGGGGCAGCCCACCGGGTGGCAGTCAGTGGTCATGGCCTCAAAGATCACCAGGCCTTTCTCACGCAGTGCAGCCGGGTGGGTTCATCCACCCAGCCTGCAGGAAGCAGCCCAGCATTCAGCCATTGCACCACCGGGTTTCTGCCCTAATCCTGCATAATTTCATTAGTCTAACCAGAGAACCCCATTTTCAGGGGGTCACAGGTAATTACCAAAGTGTAACTTTTAGAAGGGACACAATCTCATCCTTCACTATGGGTCCCACCCTCGCAGGGCCTGGAGGAGGGAGGGGCCTGGCCCCTTGGGCCTCCATCTCCCACCCCAAAACCCTGTATCCCCTGGAACCTAGGTGCTCTGCCCCCAGCCTCACCCACTTCCCTCTTTCAGACCCTCTGGTTTGACCTGCACCAGCGACTCTCAGATGAAGAGGGCAGCAACATGGTGAGACACCTGCCTGAGACCCCCATCCCTGCCCCCAACAGCCCAGGTCCGCGGCCTCCCCTCCCAAGGCTGTTGGCCAAGGGTCAACCTCGTGAAGAACTCGCGTCTCTGGTCACTGGTCTCACGTGCTTCTGTAGACAGGCGGGTAGGCCTGCGGCACTTGTGGGGACACAAGTGATCATGATTAATCTTCTATTTCCAGTTCTTTGAGGGTCAGTTTTGGGGTGTTTTTTTTTCTAATTTTCCCCCCTTGGTCACCGCCCTCCTGCCCTGAAAGCCAGGTTTAACGTACAGAAAGGAGAGCGTGTGTGATGAGGGAGGGGGTGAGGGGGGTGTTCTTGATAAGGGGGGGTGGCGGGTGGCCTTCCTTTGCTGGCCTCACCACCCTCTGGTCTGCAGCACCTGCAGCTGGTCCGCCAGGAGCTGGCCGTGTGTCCTGAGCAGCTGACTGACTTCCTGGAGTCCCTGCGCCAGTATCTTCGGTCCACCGCAGGGGAGAGGGACTGCTTCCAGTGAGTGAGGGTGGGCATCTGGAAGGTGGGACCACTGGGGGCCCTGTGTGGCGCCGGCTGTGAGGTGTGACTGGAGTCCAGCCAGGTTGCAGAGTTCCCCTGTGAAGGTGGCTCCTTCCTGCCCTTTAATGTGATGTACAGACCTTCACCTCTGAAACATCAGCAGCATCACAGGCTCCTTGCTTGTTGCACGTGCAGCCTTTAAAGCACTGAAGAGGCTTCTAGATTTCTTTGCACTAAGTGGTAAGGAATTGAGCTGCTAAGGCAAACGTCCGCAGTTTGACAGCACCCCTTGGTCTGTGGGAGAAAGCTGGGCAGTTTCCCATTGGATTTACTGGCTGTGCGAACCCACTGGAGGGTCTAGCTATGGGATGCTTCTGGCTTGAGGGGTCACAGCACCAGGGTGACACCCAGGAAGAACCACACCACCTAACTCACCTAAAACTTCCACTAAAGACACAGGAACCCTGGGACTGCCTGGCGTTGGGGTGAGAGCCAGCGGCTAGGGGTCCTGTAGGTGTGCCCCCCAGTGACCACAGCTCTGCTCCCCACTGGGCTGACGCGTGCTCTGCTGTGCAGGGTGGGCTGTGTGGTACATGCTTGTCATGTGGTTGTGGAAGGAGGAGGAGGAGGCGTTAGTGAGGACAGCGAGAAAGGCCATTATCCTTGGGACTGGCCCTGAGCAGGGGTGGGCAGAGCTCTGCAGGAGGCACCCAGCCCTGCCTCACTCCTGGCCGTCTGGTGGGGCCTTGTCTCCAGTCCATGCCCCACTGTCCATGCTTCGCACAGTGGCCGCCCTGTGCTGGCTGTGATGGGGAGGGTTGATGGGCATAGGCTGGACTGTGTCTTTGGCTACAGGCTCACAGCCTCAGGGAGGTCCTGTGTGAAGGCTGCTTTGGGGAGGGGTATGAAGGGGTCCTGTGGACACCAAGGTCTAGGTAACCACATGTCCATGGGCTCTGAGGCTAGAATGTTCTGAGCAGGTTGTGGAGTGGACGCCAGCCCCAGGGGCAGGGAACCTGTGAGCGTGGTCAGCCCAGCGTGCTGCCCCATTGGTCTGTACTGGACACTGTCCCATAGGTTTCACGTCTTTGATTCTAAGCACATCCAAGCCCGTGCGATGAGCCCGTGCACCCCTTCCTCACTGAGGCCCCGTCCTCGTCAGGGGTTGTCACTGAGGGAGGTGCTGGGGTCTGGATGGAGCGCCAGCCGTCCCGAGCAGCACGTGGTGAGAAAACGTGAGATTGTCCACTCGGTCAGTGAGGAGGCACACGAGCCCATGCTTAGGTGTCCCCCTAGATACCGTGTCCTGCCCGGCACCCCATCCCAGCAGCAGGAACAGCTTGGGGGACCCCCTGTAGGTGTGGGGTGAGTAGTAGCAGAGACGGTGCTGTCTGCCGGGGGTGGATTTGTTGTGGTAAAGCTTCACCTCACATACTCTGGGTATGTTGTTAGGAGAGGCTGTTCTTGGAGAGGTACTTCATGCTCGGAAAGGTGGAGGGTCAGCGAAGGCCCTTGAGATGGACTGACAGCGACTGCAGCAGTGGGCTCGAGTGCGTCAGAGGTGAAGATGGAGCAGGATAGAACGGGCTCAGGCCAGCTGTTCACAGGGTCACGATGAGTGGAAGCGGGTGACGCGGTTATGGCTCCGAGAGCTGGATGGAGAAGGGGACATGCACAGCGGGCAGGCAGGGCTGTGGTCACTGGAGCACATGGTGCCTGATGAGGAGGGGTGGGCCAGCACTGAGAGAGGAGAGGAAGGGGCCGCTTGGCCCTCTCGGTTGTACGTTAGTGTTGATGCCCATTGCACCCACAGCCTTTTTGGCACACACAGGGTGGTCGTGGCCTGTGAGTCTATGCTCAGAGTGGACACTGACCCCCAGCACCCTTAACCAGCCCTTCTTTTTGTAGTGTCACCGCCGTGAGGCTCGCGGACGGCTTCACATTTGTCATCTATGAGTTCTGGGAGACAGAGGAGGTGTGGAAGAGGTGGGCATGGCGGCCGGCAGGGGGGACGGGGCGTGGGGGGACAGGGCTGTGATGAACCCAGCTCCTGAGTCTGAGGTCCACTGTGTCCCCTGCACAGGGGAGATGTGGGGGGGTCGTCCTGCACCCTGAGCCTGATGGTGCTGTCAGGATGTCCAGGTCTGGCACACCCTGCCCTGCCACGCTGACCGTGTCTCCCGCTTACAGGCACCTGCAGAGCCCTGCGTGCAAAGCCTTCCGACACACCAAGGTGGACACGCTGAGCCAGCCTGAGGCCCTGTCCAGGATCTCTGTGCCAGGTGAGGGCGCTGGGGACCGGTGTGCCCAGACCAGAGGACAGCATTCAACTCCTGGGTGAGGCCTGGGTCTTCCTGAACCTGTGGTCTGCAGTCAGTTGCAGATGGGTGCTGGGCGTGCAGAGGCTGGGATGGTGATAGTGCAGCAGCCGTGAGGCTGAACCAGAACTGCAGAGGGGAGAAACATGGGACGATGCAGCCCCCAGAGGCCACGCGAGGTGCCGACAGGTTGGCCGGCAAACCCGAGTTGCCATTGGCACTGCTGCTGCTGCTGTAGACTCTGGGTGAACCTGCTGTCCCCTGCCGTGTCCGCCTCCCCGGGCACTCCTGCCTGTCTGAGTGGGGAGCAGGCACTGGATGAAGGGGCTGGGCTCGTCCCTGGACACCTCCTGCCCTTTGGCAGATGGAGACCAGATGCTTCCACGGGGGACCACTGCCCTCTCCTCAAGGGGGGTTGGCCAGCCCTGTGGTCCCCACCTGCAGTGGCCTCCACAGGATACAGGAGGGACACCTGCCCTCAAAGGGCGCCTGACATGTGTCTTTCCCTCCTGTCCTCTCTCTCTGTCCCCCTCTGTTCAGCTGCTTGGTGCACAGTCGCCCGAGACTAATTGCCACCTCCCCGCAGCCCTGGACGAGCCCGGCACCCCCTTTTCTAGGGACTTTGGTATAGCCGTGTCTTTTCAATCACTTCTAAACAAGAATGTATTCTGCCGTTGGAAGTGAAGGCCCCCTCGTCTTCTGCCCTCCTCCCTGGCGGAGTGGCCCCGAGTCCTTGGTCCTGCTGCAGCCACAGGCATTGGGCCGGGCTGCCTGAACCTCCACACCTCCATTTCACCTCCTGACCCCCCACCCTTGACCGCACGCATGACCTGCCCTGCGCCCAGCCACCCCCCACGCTGGCAGCAAGGGCTCGCCAGTTCTCTCCCGTCCCCGGGTAGTAATTACCTGTAGGAGCAGAGACCCTGTAGTGTCCAAGCCAGGCCTGGCGACCCGCGGGCACAGCGCCCACGCCACACGCAGCGGATGCCGGGAACGCAGGCGACAAATAAACTGTGGTTGGGAACACTCGTGTGCTGTCTCCCCTCTGCTTGCGGATGGCCGCTGGCGTGGTGACCGCCGAGGGTGCCTGGGGCCCCTTCTCAGCCACAGGGCATGACCGAGTCGCACCCTTGGAGCCTCAACTTTCTAACCTGTGTAATGGGGTCAGTGATACAGGCAGCACAGCCCCTGAGGACGTTCAATGTCACCAGGCAGTAACGCAGAGGGGACCCTATGAGATCTCAGCTCCAGAGTGGACTCAGAGCTGCCCCATGCCGTCTCCAACCCACAGTCATAACCCACTGAGCCCCAACTGAGTGCTGCCCCCCTGGGCCTGCAGGACAGAAAAGCTATCCCCAGGGTTTCTGAAGCTGACAAGAGGGACTAGTGGGTTCGAGCCAGAGTTTTTGGTTAGCAGCCAAGCGTTTAACTCCCTGCACCACTCTGCCCCTTCATCAGTCAGTAGTTGTTACATATGGTCAAGTTGGACTGGCTCACAGCTGATTGTCCAGTGGGTTTTCAGAGGCTTGTCTCTCACGGGAGGGATCTGCCCATCTTTGCCCAGAGCAGCAGCTGGTGGACTCCAGCCACCTGCCTTCACCGTGGCAGCACGTCCTTACCCACTAGGCTCTCTCATCAGCTGGAAAATGCAAACCAGAACCAGCACAGCCCTCTTGTCCTGAGCCACGACAGCTCCCCGGGCCTCTGTCCCCTTGTCAGTGAGAGCTTCCCGGGCCTCTGTCCCTTTGTCCTGAGCCGCAACAGCTCCCCGGGCCTCTGTCCCCTCGTCAGTGAGAGCTCCCCGGGCCTCTGTCCCTTTGTCCCGAGCTGCGACAGCTCCCCGGGCCTCTGTCCCCTGCCTCGACAGTGAGAGCTCTCCAGGCCTCGATCCTGGCACACAGTTACCCTGCAAGGCCGAGTCCAGCGACCCCTCAGGTTTCCTACCTAGCAGTAAATGACCCACTGAAAACTCATCGCCCGGAAGTGTGTTCTCATTCAGTGACCCCCAAAGGACAGGGACCCTGCCCATCACAAACCAGTCACCTCACTGAGGGTCTTGGGCCTCTTCACTCTCCTCACCTTTTCTGAGCGTCTTGTCCCTCTCCGGGGACTGGCCCCTCCTGCCCACAGGCCCCAAGCACAGGAGACCACGACTCAGCATCCCAGCACCACCCTGTTGGCGCTCTGGGACATGTGCGGCTCTGTCAGCCGAGGGGGCGGCCCGTGCTCTCGTCCGGCACCACGCTCTTCCTCACTGTCCCCGCTTCCACAAGCACATGAAGCTACATCTCCAAACCATCCTTTGGCTACTGAGCTACTCCCAACCCCGAGCTACCCGGTCAGATCGAGGCGGGCTGGCCCAGCGCTCTCCCCTGGAGCAAGTGGGGGGGGGGTCAGTGTGCAGGCGGATGCTTTAACCAGAGCACCACCAGGGCTCCCTTGGTGCGTACAAACTCAATAGCCCGTTGTCCCCAAGTGGGAACTGACCTGTGCTGACTCTGCACTGGGTTTCTGAGGCTGTAAACCTCACAGGAGGATCCTGCCACCGGGGGATTTGAACCACAAGACAGGTGCCACGTAGGGGTTAGCAGCACAGCTCCCTAGGGGCTAAGCCACTGGAGCTCCCTGTGTGGACGTTCAGCCAGAGGGACAGGCAGTCCTGAGGCGGGCTCCCACAAGGGAGCCCTGACCAGGGAAAAAGTGCACGTGGTGAAGGCACAGAGGTGGGAACAGGTGTGAGGAGGGGAGTGGAGTCTGTGGACTGAAGGTTCCGGCCAGAGACTCTGGTCACCTGGCGCTGACCACATCGCCTGCCACTGAGCTGTGCACTTACGTGCCAGGAACCACTTCTCTGTGTGTCGCTATGATAAACCCTTGTAGGAGGCACGGTCACACTGTGTGCTGGCTCTTCTCACAGGGACTTACTGTCACTGTGAGCATTCACTCGGGCCCCAGAGGAGACCAGGCCTGACTGCACAGCTCCCGGGGCTCACGTGTTTGTGGAGCTCTGGTGGCCTCGTGGTAAGAGCTGGGCTGCCAGCCCAAAGGCAGGTGGTTCAAATCCACTAGCTACTAGGGAGAAAGATGGACAGTCTCCTCTGGTGATTCCGTCCCTGGAAACCCGCTGAGGGTCAGCTAGGACTCGGTTCCATCTCGACCACCTCACCACTAGACACCACCAGTCGAGTTCCTTCCCACAACACACAAGTCGACAGCATTGAGCAACTATCCCAAGACTCCAGAAGTCTTGAGTGTCCCTTCCCATCGCTCTAGGTATCCTCAGGACCGCAGGGAGGGGGCTCTGGGGAGGGCGAGGAGCCCATGGAGAAAGTACAAGGATGGCCCAACGTGACAACCAGTTATTAAGTACCATGACAAATGACATCTCCCCCCCCACCCCCAGCAAGGCCTCTGCCACACTGCTCTACCCCCGCTGGCTGCCGGGACCCCCCCACCCTCAGACTGCTCACTCCCCGCCTCGCATGCAAAGCCAGCTGTGGGCTATGAAATGCCATCTCTGAGCCTAGCTCAGCACCCCAAGTGGGACGTCCTTGCACAGGATTCTGCTGGAGCCTCCACTTTCTCATCTGTAGAGGGGCGACACTGTGGGCATCCAGCCAGCACAGGAGTTGTTGCTCCTGTTCCCTCCCCCTTCAGGCTGGTCACCTTTCCAACCAGCTGCTTCCAGAAAACTCTTCTCTGGGGCTGAGGCTTGAGGACTGCATGAGCTGGGCACAGCACACTGGGTCCACCATCAGCCCTGCTCGCCCCACGCTCCCCTGCCTGCAGCATCTCTGCTGCTTCCAGCCCACGGCCACTGGGAGCCTTTGCCTCGGGGTGTGTGGGTGGCTACCAGCTCTGAATAGAACAAACCTCAACCCTGAAAGGTCTACCAGCTCCCTCTGATCCACGCTTCAGAACAGCAAGTGGCATCAAGCACCTAGCAGGCGCCGCCTTACTCCTTGTACAATACATAGCAGGTGGGGGCGCTGAGACCAGAGAGGGCAGGTAACGTCCTACAGGTCACACAGCGAGTAAGTAACAGAACTGGGAGCCTATCCCAGAGCTGCCTGTCCCCCCCTCCCCGTGTTCTAACCACCTGGCAGCATGGCACCAACACATGGCAGGATGGGTCAAGTGCGTCCAGGCACTTCTATCAAACTCCTTGACAGTTTGACAAGTGACTCAAAAGTCCCAACAACAGACAGGCCTATGAGCAGAGTGACACCAGGGGTCATGCATTCCTTGGAACCATCAACCACAAAGATCAGAGGGACAGCATCTGCCCAGGGGCAAACATCAGGAGACAGGAAGTGACAGGAAGTAGGAAGAGCACTGTTACATTGTGGGTGGGGCCTGCAGTCAGAGTCACACATCGAAAGGTGCACCCACTGCTGACCGGAACCAGATTTGTTCTGTCAGCTTCCATGCAAATCAGAATAAAAAGTGAAACACAAGTTGCCATGGGCTGCCACAGTTCCACGCGTGGGAACAAGTCCCTCTTTGCTCAGCACCTGGCCCCCCCCACCCCTTACAGAGCCCTGCCCTCAGCTCTTAGCATTTAGTGCCAGGTGCTTCCCTCCTGATGCCCTTTCCTGCCTGTGAGTGAGCTTTGGCGTCCTCACGTGTGGGAAGCCAAATTTCATACTAAATAGAATAAACCAAATGCTATTTCAGGATATGAGGGAGGCATGGATCCAAGCTGGAATTCACCCTCAAGCACTAAGGCAAACTTGAGATGTTTACAGGGGTAGGCACTAAAGCAAACCTTCAACATTTACAGCATTCTTGTATTTGCTAACCCCTCCCTCTGGAGTCAAGCATAAAGTTTTCAATAGAAAGAGCGCGGCTTCATTTGGATTGAATTCTCTTGGTGATTTGCTCCCTGGTGATTCTCAGTCAAGGCCCAGGGAAGCTGGGACCCACACTTCAGTACTCTTCTCCTCCTGCTTCTCCTCTATATACATTCTTGGTGTTGTCTCGTTATCAGTTCTTATACTTTACCCTCAGTCTGCAGCACTCAGGTTTCCCTTTCCCCCTTGGCTGCGAGGAAGCTCAGGCTCAGCCTAGGTTTTCAGGTCCTAAAGTTATCTGTTGTCTGAGGGTGTACTGTGTTGATCACCCCACAGCTGCTGGGAGGCTCCATCACCATTCATCTCCCCAATAACCTGCACTACACACAGCGTGGAAAGTTCATACGTGAGGTTCACAAACGGTTCCCAGATTCCAAAACAAACCGCCCAGTTCTAGGCTATCTGACCCACAACTCTGTGTGGCCAAGTCCTGCTCCACATGCAATTTCCTGGGAAGGGTCAACCTCCGCCCAGCCATCCTGGTCAGCTGCCACTAAGCCTTTCAAGAAGCAGAGATCAAGTGACTCTTCTCCATGCCTGCCGCCCACTGCAGGGAGAGAAATGACCCATTAAGTTCCTGAGACCCGTAAAGCTGGAGGACCTACTGAAGACAACTGTGACCAGTCGTGAAGGGCTGGTCACAGAGGCTTGCAGATTCCTTTGTGCCCACGCCTGGTCAGTCTACACATACAGCCACACTAATGAGCTCCAGCCCATGGCGAGGGTGCAAGAAGGCAGAGGTGCCCCCAGCCCCGTGACAGGTATGCTAGCCCCAGCCTTTGGTCACACCTCGGAGGTATGTAGAGTGAACGGATGAGAGTCCAGCCTCCAGATCATGTCTGGACAGGAAGCTTTGCCCAGGCCAAGCCTCGGCCACCCAGCCTGTAAGATAAACATCTTAGAGAATGTCATGCTTCATGGAAGAACCCAGTCACAGAGGCCATGGACTGCACAATCCCATTTATAGAAACAGGAAAGGCAAATCTCTGGACGAAGTGGACTTGTGGCTGCCTCGGCCCAGGGGCGGGGTGACCACTATTGGGTCTGCTGGGACAGCTGGATAGCCTGTGAGGTCACCAAGAGTCACTCCATGTAAGTAGATGCATGCGACAAAGTGGACCCTGGCCACCAGCCTCTTGCACGTCCCACGTGTGGGCTCTGTGACATGACCTAGAGGGTATGGCCTTCCTGGACACAGGTGGTCTCAGATGGCAGCCCCTCTGTTCCCGTGCTGGGTGCTGCTGGCCTTGAGGACATACCCAGATGTGCCCCCCCAAGCCCTGTGCCACCTCAGTGACAGTGACATGGATGTGGTTGAACTCCCCATCCCCCCCCCAGACTGGACACACCTTGTCTGTCACTTACTGTGACTGCCCTCATCTCGTGTCTTTGCTCCTGACACCCTCTAGCAGGGCTTCCTGGGTCCTCCATGTCCACCATGGCACTGGAAACCCAGGGGAGCGGTCTACAAAGTCAGAGGTGTCCATTCCTCCACGTTTATAGTTCATGGTATGGGGAAGGCCTGTTCAGAACAGCTCCAGGACCACGGATAGTGCTGTGGAAGGCTCCAGAGTCTAGAACATCTCCAAGCCCATGAACAGCAGTGCAGGAATCAAAGTCTAACCCATATCCAGGACCATGGGCAGTGATGTGAGAATCAAGCCTCAAACGTCTCCAGGACCATGGACAGTGAGTGGGGAGCCAGTGCCCCTTTAAACCTTCTCCAGGACCATGGACGGCGCCCCTACACGCTCCAGTTCAGAGCAGCTCCAGCACTGCGTCCACTGTGCTCTGGCCGAAGATGAAGGTGCCCACCAGCACGGAGACCACGCCCCAGAGCTCCAGGCAGCACCTGCGAGGGGGAGCCCACGTCAGCGCACCCCCTCCCGGGTTTCTGCACAGCCACACTGCGCACTCTGGGACCCGTTCACTAATGTGCAGACAGACTCGAGACAGTGGGTACTAGCCTCACGCTGCCTGAGTTGAAGCCACCCTGTGGACAGAACTGCCCCACGGGGGTAGACTGCCTCAACCTTTCTCTGTGGAGTGGTCGAAGGGTTCCAAATGCTCACCTTTTATTTTGGAGAGCAAGCAGTCCAGCACTTAACCACTGAGCCACCGGGCTCCACGGGCTTGCCCATGCCCACTGTGACCAGGTCAATGTCAGTAGAGCAACCACACAGGAGAGGACACAGCTGTCCCGGGCTCCCAAGGGTGTCCCTGCACACAGCTGCCTGCCTCGTCTTCTCCTGGGGAGCAGCTGGTGCCTTCAAGCCTTTTGTGGCTACCACCTGAGCACTTTATCAGCCGCACTGCCAGGGCTCCTTTAAGGGGAGCAGAGAGCCCAGCAGGCGGCAAAGCTCTTCACTCCACCTGACTTAAAATCTCCATGCCGCCCCAGACACAGGAGAGATGGTCCCAGCTGCCGACTCCCCCAGAAAGGAGGCAGGAGAAGAGTCTAACACCCGAAATGGGGCTGCTGGGACCTCAGACTCCATGGCGGCGGCCACGGTCATGCTTGGCAGCCCCATATGTAACCGGAGGAGCCGGGAAGCAGACAGTGAGACGGGGCGATAACAAGATTTCCTGGAGAACGGCCGGCCGGGCCGCAGACATTTCTGGCCCCGTTTACAAGGCCAAAGGCCCGGTTGTCATGGCAGGAGTATCATTAGCCAGTAGCTGCTCAGGGCGGTAAAGGCCCCTCCGCCACACAGAACCAGCTCCTCAAGAAGCTTCTGCATCAAAGGGACCGGAAGAAAGGACAAGATCCTGAAAGCTCATCAGGAAAAGCGGTTGTGAGCACGGCCCAAGGGACAAGGCAAACAGCACTTCAGAGCGTGCTGGGGGCTGGGACCAGGCAGCTCAGGCAGCTGAGGGCCACTTCTGAGACAGAAAACTCCTGCAAGGGGCTGTGCTGGGACCTGCTGGGACCCACAGGGACAGCAGCTGTGGGAGGGACCCTGTGGTGGGAGGAACAGGAGGCACCCTGGGCCATCACCACCTCGGGGTGGCCTCCAGAGAGCCCTGTCCCCAGTGGCTGAGCCCTCATTTGGAAATGGATCTTAGAGCTGTAATGAGGTAAAATGAGGCCATGCTGTGTCCGGTGGCTCCCACATGCCATCACTGGTGTCCTTGTAAGAAGAGACCCAGGCAGGAGGCCATGAAGTGATGAGGGGGCGTTTAGAGTGACGTGGCCGTGAGCCAAGGAGCGCTGGAGCTGCCCTGGCAGCTGGAAGAGGCTCGCCCTCGAGAACGCAGGGGAGCTCAGTCTGACCAACGCTGTGATTCCAGGCTCCTGCAGTTCAGAGCCGGCCGGTGTGTGCTGCTTTGTGCCCTGGCAGCCCCACTGTGTGCTTCCCTCCCTTGGCCTCAGTTTTCACAGACGTCAAACGAGTCAGGTGTGCACATGCTGTTGAGGGTCCTGAGATTTTCAGTCGGGACCCCAGAGCACAATGTCTCCTTGAGCTGACGGCAGAGGGCGAGGGCACGGGAAGACGTTGCTCTGGGTGAAGCACAGGTCCAGCCCCTCCCCTAACCAGCAAGGCTCTGCTGGGTGCCTGCAGGCCCACGCTGAGCTCTGCCCTCATGACGGGGGTGTTTCTGAAGCCCCACCCTGTCCTCTTATCAGCAGGTGGAAGCCACCTTGGCCAGGCCTCATGCAGATGCAAGGCCTTCAGAGCACGGTCTGTGGGGGTCCTTGGACCCTGGAGACCCTGATGGGACTGAGCTGGCAGAGAGGACTGAGGACTGGAGATCCCTGACCCCAGACACACAGAATGGACTAAGCTTCTTGGACATCTGCTCTCCGACCCCATGGCCCGAGGTTTCCATTTGCAGAGGAGTCAGCAGGTGGGCTGGGGTGGGGGTCACAGGACGCCACACGGGTTCATGCCCATCACACCCTTCCTCCCAGGACACTCACTTGAGCCTCGGCCCCAGGGGCTCGACGTCCACAGCACAGATGAGGCACAGACCTGCGAGGGGACATGGGGACACCCTGAGTGCCCGGAGGCTGTCCACTCACAGTGGGGACCCTGGGTTGACACGGCATTGCCGGCTCAGGGCTCCCAGGATGAGAGTGTTGAGGTCGCCTGGCCTAGAGCAAGATCTCGGGGTGGGGGGACCCCAGCTCCTCCTCTTGTTAACAAGGGCTCAGGCAGTGACCCACAGGGGCCTTATCCATCCAGGGATGTGGCTTTAGAAACGGCAGAGAAGGGCGCCGTTTTCCCAGGGAGAAAGCCAGAGGCAGGAAGGGGCAGGAAAGGAGGAGAGCAGAAACGGGGAGCCTGGGGTGGGGGGATGCCGTGTAGTCACAGCGAGGGGCGGCAGCTGCAGCCCGCGGGGAGGAAGCCGAGGCCGGCAGCTCACCTGGGAAGATGAAGATGAAGAAGGAGCTGATGCCACCGATGATGTCGATGACCTTGCTGAGGTCGGGCAGCAGCAGCGCCAGGGTGAGTGTGGTGGCGACCCACAAGCTGGTCAGCAGCATCCGCGCCCCCATCTCAGAGGTGGCAGCAGGTACCCAGCAGCTCCTCCCCCAGAGGTCCTGCAGCACAGACCTGGGGACCAGGGCCATTGCTGAGCCAGCCGTCCCAGGGCACTGTCCCCACCTGCTGCCCACGGCCTCTCAGCCAGGCTCCAGGAGACCATGACGGGCCTCGGGCACAAAGGTCGGGGCAGCGCTGCCAGCAGGGGAAGGAGCACCGAGCCCAGGAGAGACAGCAGACAGGAAGGTGAACTCTGTGTGTGTGCAGCGGGGTATTGGGAGGGGGGAGAGCAGACAGGCAGGTGAACCACGGTGGGGTGTCAGGAAGGGAGAGACGGCAGACAGGCAGATGAGCCGTGGCAAGGTGTCGGGAGAGGAGGGGGTCACTGCTGCCTTCAGGAAGGGCCTTGGTCCTGAGTGGTTAGCGTGCTCTCCCTGGGAGGACCTCGGGGGTCACCTCACTGTTCAAATTACCCTCTTCACCTTGGCTGCTGGGGGACTCACAGCCTCTCTCTGGTCCCTTCCAAGGAGGCAAGGGCCACTATTTTACAACTAAGCCGTTGATATAATCTAATCTGCTTTTCGTCTTGCTGCATTGCAGACCCTTTAAGCCAGCACTGTGATCATTTCTCTGCTAGCACAAGGAATTAGATGGGATATGTTTACTGAGGGCCTTCACTGATTTACAAATGGAAGGTCTGTGACAGCCCCGCATTCAGCAACTGTAGTGGCACCCTTTTCCCAACAGCACATGTCACTCCATGTCTTGGTGCCCAGTTTCACATTTTGGTAATTGCTCCATTTCAGATTTTTTCCATCATTTACTGTTGGACACTTACTTCGTAGAATCCAACTTAAAACTATTGCCATGGAGTCAGAACCGACTCACAGCTGACCCTCCAGTCAGTTTTCAGAGGCTATAAATCACAGACAGGAGCCTGCACATTTCTCCTGTGGAGCAGCCGGTGGATTTGAACTGCTTGCCTTTGGGTTGGCAGTGCAACTCCCTCCCCACTAGGCCACCAGAGCTCCATTCACAGACAGCAGGGGAGTGTAGATGTAATTTACAGGCACTGGAACAACCGATCCACACACAGGACTTGCTTTCTGCGCTGTTTGAGTGAGTGTGTGCTCGCAAAGCGAAGGAGCAGACAGACTGTGGGAAGACAGAGGCAGGGACACTGCTGTGTTGTGGCCACAAGCCAGGGCTGGCCACTAGGAGCTGAGATGGCCATGAGACGGGGGGCAGTGTGGGTTCCAGAATTGCTGGAAGGAGCGTTCGTGTGTGGCAGCGTGCCTGTCCGTGACGGTGGCCCTCCTCCGTCCACTGCAGGCTCACCTGCCCAAGAAGAGCGCGATGGGGTACACGGTCACAATGGAGACAGCAAAGAGCACCCGGGCCACGATGACCACCACGTCATCCCTGGGGTAGGACAACAGAATGTCGGCAGAGACGCTGGACCCGAAGGTCAGGACGCCAAAAGCCCCTGGGAACAAAAAGGAATAT